CAGGGGCAAAGAAAGGAAATGCAAACAGGCCGAGTTTACAGGAGGGCCTGGAAAATAAGTCAGCACCACAAGTTTTAATGCTGACTCAGAGGAACGGAAATCACCTCAACGAGTAATTTTTAGGAAATGGTTCAAAGCCATGGCATTGTGTATTTCGGGGAGGGGGGAGAGAGATGGTTGTCTCCACCCTCTCATCCATCCCTTCCCAAAGGCACGTGGAATCGGAAGAAGGAAGGGGAGGAAGAGAGGAGAAGGGGGAAATTCTGCAGGGTATTGAGGCAGGTCATCCGGCACTGCCTCAAGGCCCAAGGGGCTTCGGGTGGGGCTTTGGGACAATTGCAGGGACAATTGACAATTGTGGGGCAGTTTCTTCTCACCACCCTTCGTGGACTTGACTTTGGCCAGCCTTACACCCAGTACAATTTGCTTTTGGAGTTGTGGTGCTGTTTCAGAATAATACTTTCTGGGTAAATGCAAGCTGGGATCGGGGTGTGTGCGCATGTGTGTAGGGGCGGTGCATGTGTGCATGTGTACGTGTGCAGTGTGTGTTTGTGTGCAGGAGGAAGGCAGAAAAAGGCCAAAAGTGTAGGAAAAGACTTGAAGGGTGCTAAGCAAAGAGGGCTTTGGGGGATAATGGGTGGGAGCTTTCCTGCAGAGGAAGCCATTTATACGTTTGGGAGAGGAGGCAGAAGACCCCAGACTCATCTCTGACCCTTCCACATCCATGGGAAGAGTCCCAGGACAATTCAAAAAGAGAAGTTCCTTTCAAAGAGCCAAGCGGCTCAACCACTTCAATGAGACCCTTCAATGGTCCGGTGAGGCCAACCACCTGCCTTTGTCTAGAGCCAAAGACCTGCAGGCCCCCAGGGGGACGGGCTCTGGCAACGGGAGCCCTTCCAACAGAAAAGAAAGCAGCAGAAGTGGCACTTTTCCAAAACCAAACCTCACCTTCCTAACAGTAGAATGGCTGGCAACATGGGAGATTAACACACAAAATGCATCTTTGTGTAAAGTATTTTTGGTTTTGCATTGCTGGAACTAAGAAGACTTTTGTAAAACATTACACAACTAAGAGGAGGGAAAGGGAGTGGCGTTAAGGCACCTTCAGGCATGTCTGTGGGCCCAGGCCCATGGGAGGCACGCCTTAAAAGGCTGAGCGGTGTAGTTTTGCAGCCACACCAGTTGAGGTTTCCGGCTGGCCCAAAAACCTCTCTCTGAAATGTTTTGACAAGGTTGGCAGAATGAATGACGACCGCTCCCTGGCCAAACCTTTCTTTCCTTTTGGGAAAACAAGGGTTCTGTAGCAAATCTACTCGGAAGAAGGGAAGGAGCATCCAATTTTGTTCAACAGTCTCAGTAAGGAGCACTTGGAGAACGTAAGGAGACCCGAGGGACTGGCTTAGTCTGCTCAGAGGTTTGATCTTTGGCGCCAAGAGGGGAAGAAGGCACATTCTAGCCATCGCCCTTGGGTGCTTCCTTCCCTTCTCCACAACATCCTCTTCCCAAGTAGGGCATCTACCTGGAGGACCAAAAGCTCTGGCAGGGACTTCAGCAGGAATTAGGACACAGCAAGGCCATGCCCCTCTAGAGCCCGGCAAAGGCGCTTAGGAGGGGGAAGCGGTCCATGATTAGGCAGCAGCTCCACCGGCAGCTTAGTGGTGCTGGCGGCAGCAGCACTAATATTTTTCTTCTAAGCAATCAAAAGCATTGGGATACATAAGCTCATCAGCCCTGCTACACAGGGGAAGGCGGCTGGAAAACTGCAATAATAATAAGGCACAACTGACTTTTGCTTTTTCTTCCTTTTTGCTTTTTTTTTTTTTGGTCCTATTATGAACACCAGCCCAGGAGGCCGATCTATTCACTCTCCTGTAGTGGATGGTTCCAGCATCGCAAATTTGCATGGGGGGAAGGGGGAGGGCAGAAGAGGGGGGAGGTACAGCAGAGGCAGGAATGACTACATGGACTCAAATTCATCAATGCGCTGCTTGGTGTTGCCCTGACGGATCTGGCGGAGTGTCTTGTACTTGTCACGGCCTTGCCGCATGTTCTCTGCGTGGATCATGTCGTTGCTCGTCTTTTTGGTGTCGTCCCGCGCATTGGCCAACTCAGAGGTAAGAGCCTGCAGGGCAGGGAGGGGGAAGGGAGAATAGAATATATTTTGATTACGGTCATAGACCAGCAGCAGACATCACTTTTGACAATATATATTAAAAACAAAAAATTGTACTGACATTAATAGTGGATAATAACATCCCTGTTAAGAAAAAAACATGTTCTCAAACTGTCACTCCCTAGTTAACGTGGGTGAAAAGCTGATAACTGTGAGTAAATATAATGTTCCAAAAATTGTTAGAGATATCTCCAAAAAGTTGGTACAAGTTGACAGCCCTAATTCTGTAACCATTTTTTGTTGTTGTTGTGGACATTGCAGCAACACAGAATTTTGCATGGTAGACGGGTTTGAGTCCTGAAGGAGAAAGCTTACATAAAAATTGTCCGCCCTGTCTGGCAATCTCTCTAGTAAGGGGAGAATATATGCTGACATACAAACCAGGGGTGAAATTCAGCAGGTTCTGACCAGTTCTGGAGAACGAGTAGCGGAAATTTTGAGTAGTTCGGAGAACCAGTAAATACCACCTGTGGCTGGCCACACCCCCATCTATTCTCTGCCTCCCGAGTCCCAGCTGATCAGGCAGAAATTGGGATTTTGCAGTATCCTTCCCCTGCCACGCCCACCAAGCCATGCCATTCCCACCAAGCCATGCCAACAGAACCAGTAGTAAAAATTTTTGAACCCCACAACTGATACCATCACTCAGGTAGGCAGAACACTCCCTGTTTGGGGGCCTCCGGTTTTCCATCACCCCAGGCAGAAATGAGCATGTTGGTGTTGATACTGAGCGCCAACGTCCAGGGATCCCAGGCTGAAAGTGCCTGGAGGTC